AAAAAAATAAAACAACACAAATTTATTCTCTTATAGTGCTAGATGCCAGAAGTCTAAAATCAAGGTGTTGGCAGGGCTGCATTCCTTCTGGAGGCTTCAGGGGAGAATCCATTTCCTTGCCTTTTAGTTATTTATTGTCATTATTGTTTAATATTTTATTTTTGAGAGAATGTGCGTGCAAGCCCAGTAGGGGCAGAGAGAGTGGGGAGGGCTCTGGGCTGACTGCAAAGAGCCCAACTCAGGGCTCGAACTCGTGAACTGTGAGATCATGACCTGAGCTGAAGTTGGATATTAAGCCAACTGAGCCACCCAGATGCCCCATTTTTTTAAATGTTTTATTTTATTTTTGAGAGTGAGAGAGCATGTGCACAAGTGGGAGAGGGGCAGAGAGAGAGGGAGACATGATCTGAAGCAGGCTCTGCGCTGAGAGCAGACAGCCCAATGCGGGCGGGGGAGAAACTCGAACTCAGGAACCATGAGATCATGACCTGAGCTGAAATCAGATGCTTAACCGACTGAGCCATCCAGGTGCCCCTCCTTGGCTTTTCTAACTGCATTTATTAGCTCATAACCCTTCCTTACATCACTCCAACCTCTTGCTTCTAGCATTCTATTTCTTGCTGGGGTCAAATCTCCGTTTTTCTTCCTCTTAATCGACTGAGCCACCCAGGTGCCCCATTTTCTTAAATTTTTAGTTTCTTCCCATTTTCAGTTTCTTGGGCAGTCTTCTGCCCAATCATAGATCTCCCTTTTCTTCTCAATACTTGAATTCAGATACATTTCTTTTTTCATTCATATATTAATTCAACAAGTACTGCTCAGCTGCCTGGCACATATTAGTAATTGTGCTAGGTCTCAAAGTACAAAGATAAGTTGGGCTTGAGGAGATCAGTCTTATGGTGGTGGGACAGAGGCATATAAAGAATTATAATATGATATGGTAAATACTATAATAGAGGCTTCCAGGCAAAGTCCCCACTAGAATATAGTAACAAATGTAAAGTGCTATAGGAGTTGGGGGAAGATTTCTGACAGAATTTAACATGTGAACTGTCTTTTAGGACAAATAGTTCAACCAGGTTGCAAGGTGGGAGAGATGGGGGAGAGAGAATGAAAACAGAGGGAATTTGTGCTAAGTCTCAGAGGTGTGAAAGGACATGGAAAGTAGGACACGGTGGTAGGTGAGAAGTTCAAGTGTGACTGCGGTGTGGAGGAAAAGCATGAAGAGCAGTGCTGTACAACACAATTTTCTGCAGTGATGGAAATGGTCTAAGTCTGTGCTGTCCAATAAAGTAGCCACTAATCACATATGGCTATTGAACACCTGCAACATGGCTAGTAAGATGAGGAGCTAAATTTTAAATTTTATTTCATTTTACTTAATTTAAATTTAAATGGCAAGTGGCTACCTTACAAACAACATTGGTTTAGGCATTGGATAAAGGATAGGACTCTAGCTCTAGGAAACACTGAAGGTTTAAATTTTTTTTTTTTTTTTTTTTTTTTTAACTTTTGAGAGAGACACAGAGTGTGGGGTGGGGTGGGGAGAGAGTCAGAGAGAGAGGGAGACACAGAATCTGAGGCAGGCTCCAGGCATCTGAGCTGTCAGCACAAAGCCCAAGCCCAATGTAAGGCTTGGACTCACGAATGGTGAGATCAGACCTAAGCCAAAGTTGGATGCTTAATCGAGCCATCCAGGTGCCCCAAAATACTGAAGGGTTTTAAGCATAATACTAGCATAACGAGATATCTGAGGAAGGGAACACTGGTAGCAGGGATTAGAGGGTAGATGACTTAACACAGAAATGCCTGGAAGGGACCCACCACATGGATGGAATAAATGGGACTTACGTGTTATTGGACATGTGAGAATTTACTGGACTTCGTGACTATTTCAGTGTGGGGAGTATAAGCGAGGAGCTTCATCTGATGTTTGTAGCTTGAGCAATGGGTAGATGGCAACAACTGAGATAGGATTAGGTTTAGAATGAGGTTAATGAATTTGCTTTGCGTTCTGTTGAATCTGAGATGCCTAAGAACTATCTAAGAGGATATAATTACAAAACAGGAAAAACATTAATCTACAACTGTGGAAGTGACACTACCAATATATTTGGGGGTTATTAGTATATAGGTAGATGCTAAAGGCATGGGAGTGAAGGAACTCACCCCAGGAAAAATATGTATAAGAGGACTAGATGGATCCTAAGAAGCCCTAAGCAATCAAAATGTGATCTATTTTGCATCAGAGTCACCTGGGGGTCATCAGGTTCCTCCCTGTGGATGTATTTAATGCCATGGAATTGCGCACTTGGAAATAGTTTAAAAACCCACAAATATAATCAAACCAAACCAAACCGACTCTCAAGCCCCATTCTTAACCTGAATCAGTGTTTCTGGAGATGAATCCAGGACTCTCCAGGTAACTTAAGTTCAATTAAAATTTGAACTAACAGCTTAAAGACTACAGAAAAACTAAGAGACAGAAAGAGACTAAAGGGAGAAGGGTATGGTGAAGAAACCAAGGGAGAGCAGTTCAAAGAAAGGATCAATAGTGCTGAATAGTGCCATGACCCAGGAGGAAGGCTGAACAAGAGGCCTCAGAGTTTGGCATTCAGGAGGTCACTGATGAATGGGAAATGAAGGAGCATAGGCTGTGGAGTCTATTCTTTCAAAGGTTTTGTTCACATTTGGTAGCGAAAAGACGGAGACATTGAATAAACTTGGAGAGATCAGATACAGGAAAAGTTGATGGTTTAGAGAGAGAACTGAGCATGTTGGCAGGTGGACAGGAAGGAGTCAGTGAGGCCAAGGAGACACCAAGGGGATCCTCAATAAAACAGTTTGGGAGAAGTAGGAGAGGTTGAGATCAGGAACTCAGGCAGAGGTTAACTGGGTAAAAGTTCACTGGGTAAATTCAGAAGTGAAAAGGTGGAAAGATGAAGGGGTTTAAGACTGAGGACAACAATGCCTCGATGGATCAGTTAAGAGTCCAACTTATGCTCAGGTCATGATCTAACTGTGAGTTTGAGCCCCACATCAGGCTCTCTGCTGTGAGCTCAAAGTCCACTTGGATCCTTTGTCTCCCTCTCTCTCTGCCCCTCCCCCACTCACACTCTCTAAAATAAAAAATAAAATAAAGTATTTTAAAAAAAGACTGAGGGCAAGAAAAGACTTCCTGACATAGCAAACACGAATGGTGCTGATTGGCGGTTAGGTCATCTGCTTAGACTAGTGGAACAAGGATATAGAGTCGAGACCTGCAGAAGGGTAAAAGTCCAGAAGAGTCACTAGGATGAAAGTGATCAGGAGGAGCAGGAATATAAAAAGACTGAAAAGTAGTACTGGAGTCTGAGATTGGAAATGGCACCAACCACATAATTATCCTGCACAAAATAGAAAAACAGTTTTCCTAAATGAAGGTTTTGGTTCTGCTCTATCGTTTGGGGAATGTACTAGCCTTGGCTCTCTCTGCATAGAGTTCAAATTCCCGAGCAGGAACTTTTACTAACTTCCACCAATAGGTCCAACGTTTTTTTTTTTTTTTTTTTTTAATTTTTTTTAATGTTTTATTTATTTCTAGGAGAGAGAGAGAGAGAGAGACAGCATGAGCAGGGGAGGGTCAGAGAGAGAGGGAGGTCACAGACTGAAACAGGCTCCAGGCCCTGAGCTGTCAGCACAGAGCCCGACGTGGGGCTCAAATCCACGAACTAGGAGATCATGACCTAAGCCAAAGTCGGACGCTTAACCAACTGAGCCACCCAGGAGCCCCCAATAGGTCCAACGTTTAATTGGTGGTTCGGACTCTTTTATTCCCCAACCTTACTTCTAACTTCAGAAAATAATAGGATCTTAAGGATTTTGAAACTCATCGATACGGTTTCCTTTCTTAGCTAGGTATATTTTGTTTTCCCATCTTGTCTCCACCAAATCTTTCTCCATCTTCCACTTTCCCTTGGACTCAACTCATGGGTGTCAAAACTTGACAGATATCAGTGACACCTATCCCACAGCATTTATGCTATAGTCATTCAATTGTAGACTGCATTTTATGCCTGCTTCCCTGCCATGTTCCCACTGCCATACTATGTACCCCCAACCCCCATGCTGGTGTGCTTTGGCAGAGGATGCTGACCAAAAAAAGTCCTGAATTAACTTACTCTCTGGCATGTTTTCTGTTCTGAGCTTGGGTGAGGTTCTTTTTCTTGAGCTGAAAACTCCCTGAACAGTGTGGTTAAAAGCAGAAGTTTCCTACCTACCCCAGAGTCACAGGGCATTCTCAATCATACTCAAGTCACTTTTATTATATATAATTGTACAGTCCCACTTCATTCATTTCATTTGTACCAGCTGGATATTGGGTTCATAATTCAAATCTTTTAAACATCTTATAAATGCTAGCCGGTGCATTTTGGCTAGTATCTGTTACCTGCTGTACTGAGCCTGGGCATGTTGAATATGTGACCTGTTCTTTAATGATAAGATGTTTTTCATACTAACACTCTCCTTTAGCCAAGCCAGAGACTCTTCATTCCAGATTATATTTTGAGGTTTTGCCTGAAGGCAGGATAAGAAGTCCAGCAAAAGCCTGAAGAAGCCGGATCAGAGTCAAGTTGCCCATGGAAGAGATACATTCTAAGGCTGGCCTGGGCTAAGTCTCTAACCACTAGAAGCAGCCCCTTCCATATCCTAGAACCAGGATCAGTTTCTCTAGGCCATCTCAATCCGGAGAGCCCAGCTCATTGCTCCACAAATGTATTCTCTTAGAGAAACAACTCAAACAGTGGGGAAAAGATACTGATTCTTGCAATTGCATGTCCTGGACATTTTGCCCAAAGTTTCTGCCAGGTTTTGAGGCTGCCTTATACTCACGAATTAAGGAGAATGAACTTAATTCTTAGTATAACACTCTTTCAATATCTCTTTCCTGGTCTTCCCACCCTCCCATCTTACGGTCTCCAGAATCTTAATCTGTTCTTTTCTTTCCCTTCCTCTACCAGTGATTCAGGAATTGGATGAGTCCCTGTGGCTTGTTTTGCCCTGAAGAGCAGAAGGCTTCGGTCCCAGCTGGTGTTGCCGAAGCAGCATACTAATTCCATGCCATGGTCCTGGGTCAAGATCTGCACAATCTGATTGGCCATATCACCTCGGATGGCAAGGGAACGGAAGTGGTCAAAGTCATGGAGGCCCAGCTTCCGAAGACGCCTTGCAGCTGCCCGGTAACACTTCCAGGGCTGTGGCTCCACAAGGAGGTAGCGGCAGAGGGAGGAAAGGTGGGCCAGGAACTCCCACAGACCATGGTCCCCATGGTTCAGATGAATCCACATGGTTATTGACATGCAGAAGCCAATGTCAAAAACTGAGCGTCCAAACTGGTTTAAGAAAGAGCTCAAGAGAACTTTCCGGGTTCTTTGATTCATAAAGTCCAGGGTGATAAAGGTCAAGGCATCAGGAAAAGGGCATTCTTTTTCAGCTCGTTCCACCAGGACTGGATCTATGTCGCAGCAGAGTAGATTGAGTTCTCCTGAGATATCTGAGCCGGTCTCCCCATCATGTAAGGAAAGGAAGTGTTTGTATAGAGCCACACTCAGATCCTAGAGAAATCCAAAAGAGCTTTGTCATTGCAGCTCTCAACCAGTGAATGGAAGAAAGACCTCTATCTCTCATTATGTCATTGGACTCTCATTATGTCACTGGATTGCCACTTACTCTTGGCTTTATAGGTTATGAAGCTCCTAGACTAAGAAGGTTGCCCGAAAAGTTTTCCACAGAGCAGGTTCTCAGTGCCCTACAGGGGTCTCAGGCTATAATGTGTCCATCTCTATACTTTCCTGACACTGATGGTAGATTGGGTTGTATGGTTCAAAGTTATAGCCAAATGGATGCAGAAAAGGAGCTGAGAGCAGTCTTATCCAGCTTGAGTAATATGCTGGTAAACTCACTTTTTTCAGGTATCTCAGACCTCAGGGAGGAAGAAAGGGTTCCAGGGGCATAGCCAGTGTTCCTTACAAGGAAAGTGAGGAACCAGAACAAGCACCATCTTATAAAAATCTGCTTCTCAGACTTGCGATTGGGAAAGTCTGGATTCCAAAAAGTCCTTATTTAGCCTTCATTCTATAGCCTCAGTTTTACTCTCTGGCTTATACTTCACCACCCCCTTTTGAGATTTATTTTACTTCTGCATCTATTACTCCCAAAAGTCACTGCTGACTTCCTTCTAGCCATGTCTAATGATCTGTGATTTTCACCATCTTGTCACTTTTTTTGACTCCTGAACAAGTCACTATCTTCTTTCTCTAACTTTGACTTCTATAACCATTATAACTAATTCAAATTTGTATTGCTCTATCTATTTTTCAAGGCATTTTTCTATGCACCACCTCTTTTGCTCTGTGCAACAATCCTGTAAGGAAAATCCTGGCTGGAAACAATCCAGATGTCCAATAATAGTAGCACAGATAAATAAATGTATATTTATATACATATACATTAATGTATCTAGTAAAATGTATATATTATAAAATGTGTCTGTTAAGATGGAATACTAAATAGCAGTTTAAAATGAAGGAATGCAGCTCAGTGCATCAACATGGATGAGTCTTACAAATATACAATGTTCAGTAAAAAAAGCAAGACACAAAAGAAAATACATGGCAAGCTTCCATTTATACGAAGTTCAAAATGGATAAGATTAAATTACATTGTTTAGGGATACAAAAATGGTGAGCTATAAAGAAAATCAAGGACATAAGAATAGTAAGTCAGGCTAGTTGTTACTTCTGGGTGGAGTGGGGCAGGGAGTGGTTATGAACAGAGAAAGTTAAGGGACTTTTGGAGTTCTGACAATGTTTTATTCTTGATCTGGACAATGGTCATAAAGGTGCCTGCTTTATAATAATTCATAAGTGTAAATTTATGTCTTAGGCACTTTTCTGTACATGTGGCATTGTTCAAAAAAAATTCTGTCTTTTAAAAATTATGGTTCAGAGGCTAGGGACTTGTCCAATGTCACATGATTAGTACATGGCAAGATTTAGGCTACATTAGGTTCTTTCCTCTATACCAGGCTTCTCATACTATGTTTATTAATAATTAATAATAATGCATATCACTTATGGATCTTATTAAAATAAGGATGCTGATTTAGTAAATCTGGGGGTGAGGGACTGAGATTCTATATTTCTAATAAGCTTCCAAGTCATGCTGATGCTGTAGATGAAGGACCACATTTCAAGTAGGAAGGTCCTATACGCTGCTTAATTTTCTCTCCATTTCTATACTTATTTCTTTGCTGACTCCCTCTTCCTGTCTGATCTTGGGTATGCCAATTTGACTAGTCATTTTGTCACATCAGTCCCTCCTCTATCATATCTCTTCACCCTCTCCAACCTCAATTCCCCAATCCCAGAATACCCTGGAAGCTTACAAAAGAAAATACAGACTCAGGGCTCAATCACCCAAGATCCTTATTCAGTAGGGCTAGAGTGGGGCCTGGGAGTTTTAAAAATGTAAATAAAGCACCCTATAAATTATGGTACATCCATACAATTTTGAAGCTGCTAAAAAAAGAATGTAGTGACATGAGTGATCTCCCAATTAAGTGAAAATTTGCAAGGTACAAAATAGTGTGCTATTATTTATAAAGGTAAGAGATGTGATATTTATACATACATAAATGCCTGTTTGTACACACAGGATGCACACCCAAGAAATTATAAACAGCGGTTGCCACCGTGGAGAGGGAAAGGAGAATTTAGGGTCAGGAGTAGAGACTTACTTTTTATTACATGCCTTTGATTTACAATCATAGGGTCAGAATTCCGCTCTTCTGGGATATGCCAGTAGTTACAGATAGGTGTCAAGAGGCACATTTTGATATTTTGGAGGTAATTTCACTATAATCACTCTATGCCCAAGAATACTTTGAGGTAAGATGTGGCAATGCCTTCCTCGGCCAGGAAGCTGTATCCTCCCTCTCAACCCTCTCCACTGTACTCAGTCAACTCACTGCTTTTAAATAAACATCTCCTTGGCTCCAAGGACCATCCTACACTGTATGGCACACGAATCTTAATTCCAGGCGCGATTCCGTCACCCCTGGCTCAGCTCTCCCAGGAAACCACTCCAACCCTACGCTCCCAAAGGTGGGTGTCCGGAAGCCCCCCTCTCCTGCAGCCAGGTCGCGAGCCACGCTGTACAGGAGGCAAGCGCCGGAAGCCCCCAAACGGTGGCCTTTCCCACACGAGGTTTGGCCGTGACGGGGCTAGCACACAGGAGGGGACGCAGGAATTTGGAACGGAGCTTAAACTCATTTCGGGAAACCTGTGACGGGTGTGATGCCACGCCCAAACCAGAGCCCCAGCGAACGCAGAGGAAGCCGACCGCTCAGCTCCCAGACCTCCGACCCCGCCCACGTCACTCACCCCAGAGTTACACCCTACGTCGAGCCCCAGGATCGGCCTCGATTCGGGACTCTGAGGGAAAAGCCGGCGAAGCAGCTCCGGTGGCAAGAGGCGGAGCCGCTGTTCTGGAGGATGGAAGCGGGAATAATGAGGGAAATTTCCAAATGGGGCTGCCCCGGGCTCCAGAATTCGCGGTTCCTCTTCCGCCCCGGCCTCTTCAACGCCCCCGGTAGCTGGCTTCGTGGACGCCGCCATTAGTCAGTCTAGCCTCCGGGTCCCGGCGGAACCGGAAGTCGGAAACCGGCACGGCGAAGGGCCGGGGAGCCAGCGCGCGTGCGTTAAATGGCAAAGGTGGGGTGGGTCTGAAGGCTGACGTCCGCTCAGCGCGCGCTGACAGACGGGCTTGCGTTACTTTGTTACTGGGAGGTGGTTAGTACTATTATCCCGTTTTATAGGTGAAGAAACAAATGCGGAGAGGTTGCGTGCCTTGCCTAAGCTGATACAGTTTCAACTTGAGCTACGGGGAGAACAAGGAGTTTGTTGAGATGCTGGAAATCAGTGTGGGTCCAGCTTTCTTCCTTTAGGTATGCATTAAGTGAGACCCAGGGAGCAGAGATTACCCAGAGTCAAACAAGGAATCTGTGATAGAGGAGCTTGCACCCGGTTCATCCCATGGTTCCAGGTAAGGCTAGCGAGGAGCTGTGGGGCACTTTAAGTGCCAGAAGAGCCAGATGGCACTGACTGCCAGGTGGGACAGGTGGATGGGGCAACTGTAATTTGTGAGCTCTTTGAGAGGCAAGGACCATGACTTAAGAGCCAGCACTTAAGAGTTCTTATCGGGTGCCAGATCCTCTCTAAAACCTCTACATATGTTAATTCTTTTATTTGTTTTTTTTTTTAATGTTTTATTTATTTCTAGGAGAGAGAGAGAGAGAGACAGCGTGAGCAGGGGAGGGTCAGAGAGAGAGGGAGTCACAGACCGAAACAGGCTCCAGGCTCTGAGCTGGCAGTCAGCACAGAGCCCGACGCGGGGCTCGAACCCACGAACCGCGAGATCATGACCTGAGCGAAAGTCGGACGCTTAACCAACTAAGCCACCCGGGCGCCCCATGTTAATTCTTTTAATCCTCACATCAATCCTGTGAGGAGAACATAATTATCACATATATATATATGTATGTATATATATATGTATGTATATATGTGTATATATATGTATATATGTGTGTATATATGTATGTATATATATATGTATGTATATATATGTGTGTGTGTGTGTATATATATATATATATATATATATATATATATGAAGACATTGGGGTACAGCGAATTTGTAATCTGCCCAAGGTCATGCAGTTAGAAATGATGGTACCAGGATTTGAACCCAGGCAGTTGGGCTCCAGAGGATGTGCTTCCAGCCATTATATTATTCTCAGCCTTGAATCCCCTTATGCCTACTGTAATACCTGGCCCAAAGATGCTCAGTAAATATTTGTTGAATGAAAACTCAATATCAAAATCGTGCTGGGAAAACCAGATATTCATATGCAAAATAATGAAATCAGACCCTTATCTTACCAAAAAAAAAAAAAAAGAAAGAAAAAACTCAAAATGGATTAAGAACTTACATGAAAGACCTAAAACGGTGTGACAGCTAGAAAAAAAATAGAGGAAACACTTT